GACGTGCTTTGCTTGGGACTGATCTGTTATCACTATTTGATGAAATACACCAAGAAATTTGGAAACAAATAGAGGAATTTATTCAATTAGGTTCGGGTTGGAAGTTTGAAATGATCAAAGGAATATTGTTTCACACGATGAAATATCATGCATTACGAGGTAGTTCATACGTCGACCTGCCACCAAAAATAAAAAGTAAAAGATGTTGTATAAACATCAAAACGTAGATAATAAATGTTTCCAATGGGCTGTTCTTTCCGCACTATTTCCAGCAGAAAAAAAACGCTACTCGTGTTGAAAAATATATCAGTCACGTGTCTAGATTAAATTTTAAAGATATTAACTTTCCTGTGGCAGAAAATCAAATACCAAAATTTGAAAAGCAAAATAATGTTTCAATTAACGTTTTCGGACTAGATGAAAAAGAGGATGTATACCCGAGATATATTTCAGAAAATGCTTCACAATCGACTATAAATTTACTGTTTTACAAAAATCATTACGTTTGGATTAAAAACTTTAACGGACTAGTTGGTAAACAGTACAATAAAAATAGAAACAAAAAGTTCCTTTGTTATCGCTGCTTGCATGGTTGTACTAACAATGAAACATTACAAAAGCATTTGTAGAACTGTAGTGATGTGCAAAGAATAACAACGCCATCTAAGGGAGATAGTGTGTTACAGTTTGTCCATCATAATCACAAACTAAAAATTCTTTTCGTCATATACGCTCATTTTGAGTGTTTACTTCAACCTGTACTTGGCGTAGAAAATAATCCTAATCAATCGAGTACAAGAAAAGTTCAAAATCATGTTCCGTGTGGAGTAGCGTATAAGGTAGTTTGTTGTACTGATTCGAGATTATCTAAACCGATCAAATTATATCGAGGTAAAAATCCAGCTGTTTGGCTTCTCAAGCAGTTGATTAACGAAGTAGATAATATTACTTATCGTTTGAAAAAAGTAACGCCAATGTTAAAATTAACACCTCAACAAGAATCCGCTCACGAGCAAGCAGAAATTTGTCATATTTGTGAAAAAGCTTTTGACGATGACAAAAAAGTACATGACCATTGTCATTTGCCTGGACAGTATCGTAGAGCGGCTCATAATCAGTGTAATTTAAAATTTCATGCTCCAGATTTTATTCCGGTTATTCTTCACAATTTTCGAGGATATGATAGCCATATTATAGTAGAAGCTTTTGGTGATCCTGATATAAAATCTCATCTAAAACTCGATAATATCATCAAATGCATCCCACATAATTTTGAAAAGTACATGTCAGTTACGCTAGGTAAATTGCGTTTTATTGACAGCCTGCAGTTTATGGCAGCCTCGTTAGATGAGCTAGTGAAAGGTTGTAGTAAATTTGATAACCTAAGAGACTGTTTTGGAGATAAATTTAATCTACTAGCTAAAAAAGGAGTTTTTCCATACGAATACCTCGACGACTGGAGTAAATTTGATGAATTATCTTTACCTGACAAAAACAAATTTTACTCACAACTTAAAAACGAAAATATAACCGATGACGAGTACAGGTATGCACAAGATATCTGGAAAGAGTTTGATTGTGAGACTTTTGGTAATTATCATGATTTGTATTTGAAAACTGATGTGTTATTACTAGCAGATGTTTTTGAAAGTTTTCGTGAAGTGAGTTATAATAATTATAGACTAGATCCTTGCTGGTATTATTCTGCCCCTGGGTTGTCATGGGATGCTTTGCTAAAGTTTAGTAAGGTAAGGTTAGAATTACTGACAGACGTGGATATGTTCAATTTTATTGAAAAAGGTATCCGAGGTGGTATTAGCGTGATAACGAAGAAATATGCTGAAGCAAACAACAAATATTTGAAAGAGTATAATCCTGACCTTCCTTCGAAGTACATAATTTATCTAGATTGTAATAATCTTTACGGTGGTTCGATGGCAGAACCAATGCCTTTAAGCGGATTTCATTGGATCACGGTTGATCGATTTCTATCAGAGACAGAAAAAAAGATACCCGATGATGTTTCCTATTTCGTTGAAGTTGATCTTGATTATCCAAATTCGCTACACAAATTACATAATGATTACCCTTTCTGTGCGGAATCGATAGTAATAGATTATAGTTTGTTATCAAAAGAACAACAAGCGTTAGCATCACCAAGGCAACATTCCATGGTCAAGAAACTAGTACCAAATTTACTTGATAAGACAAATTACGTTTTGTATTACAAAGTTTTAAAACAAGCAGTCGATGCTGGTCTTGTGTTGAGAAAAGTTCATCGTGTACTAAAATTTAATCAGTCGCCGTGGATGAGAGGTTATATTAACTCAAACACTTCAAAAAGGGCTGCAGCAAAAACAGAGTTTGAGAAAAACTTTTTTAAACTGATGAACAATTCCGTTTTTGGTAAGACGATGGAGAATATTAGGAAACGCGTAAATATTGAAATAGTTAATGATGTCAATCGCAGAAACAAACTTGTGTCAGACGATGATTTTGTGAGCATGAAAATATTTAATGAAAATCTTGTTGCGATACAAAGAAGAAAAACAAATCTAAAACTAAACAAGCCGATCTATGTTGGAGCTGCCGTGTTAGATTTATCAAAGTGGCTGATGTACGATTTTCATTATAATTTTGTTAAAAATCAGTGGCCAGCTAGTAGATTATTGTTTACTGATACTGATTCGCTCGTATATGAAATCGAATGCGAGGACATCTATCAGGACATGTACAATAATCGACATCTGTTTGATCTTTCCGATTATCCACGTGACAGTAAATTTCATGACGACACAAATAAAAAGGTTATTGGTAAGTTTAAAGATGAAATGAACTCGAGCGCTATCAAATACTTTATCGGATTACGCAGCAAAATGTATGCCGTATTGCTAGATAATAATAAAATAACGAAAAAAGCAAAAGGTCTGCCTCGTGATTTTGTTTAAAAGTTTATGAAATTTGATGACTACAGGTATGCGCTTGATGGTGGTGTTAGTTTTATGAGAGCTATGGCAATTCGAACTAATCATCATAAACTTGAAACAGATGTCATTATCAAACGTGGATTGTATAATTTTGATGACAAACGCTATTGTGAAAATGAGCTAGATACATTTGCCCTTGGGTATTGTCATGATGATAGATCTATACTCGACATTATCTTTTCCAACTGAAATTTATCTAAACTTATAAAATAATGTTTGAAAATTTGACAATGACAAATAGCTACAATAGTAACATCAAATATCTAATAATGGATGGTAAACAATTGACAGTTGAATTTAATAATGAAACGTCAGGTATATGTTTTAATGGAACATGTGACAAGTTAAAACTTTCGCTCATCAGATCTGATAACAGCGTGTATTTCAATTATATCGAACAATTGAATCAAAAGTTGCTAGCGGAATTTAAAAACTTTCACAGCCCCATTAGCCAACAAAACTATACTAAACTCACAATTGATCTCGATCGGTCAAAGGTGTATTTTATCAACAAAAAATATGCTCTGAACAAACCAGAAATAAAAGATTTGTTTGAGTCCCGTCGCTGCGTGAGCGGTAAAGTAAAATTTAGTATCTATAATCGTGATAATGAAATATTTTAATATCAACAGTTGAAACATTAATCATTGGTAACGAGATATAAAATAATATCATTTTCATTCTAATGCTAATTTAATTTCCACCTTGTTAACTGAAACGTTCTAATAGGTGTGGGAGGGGTGGGTGGGCCAAAACCCCCATTTCCCTGTTTTGGAAACCCTCATTTAATTTATACTTGTTTGGAGGGTAAAAAATGAAGTGAGCCAAAATCCTCATTTCCTTATACTACTATACTAACCTTATTTGGACATTATGTATCACCAAGTTTTGATAAAATGTACCACTCCTAGGAAGACGAAGCTGCGATTGCAAGTGACTGTGACGAATACAATTAGGAAGAGAACGCTTACTTCCATTAATACCAGGTCGCAGAGATATACCAGAAAATATCACACTAGAAATAAGTTGGCGTCTTTCACTTGTCGTACGAATAGATTGCTTTTGAACAAAATCTTTGACAAATTCATCACATACACAGTGATTATGTCGCGTGTTATAGGAGCACGTTTACTTATTGCCTGATATATACATATACAGATGGTAGCAGGCCGAATGAATCAAAATATTCTATATGGCTACTATTTGGCTTGTTTATTACTCTATTTGGCGATCACATAATTTTTATGTTAATAACAAAACTCTCATAATGCTTTATTTTTTAGCAGTGTGTAATTGGAGAATACTCCACAAAATGAAATTGTGACTTGTGCGGTTTCTTAATATCAAATTTACTGAGCGGTGTTGAGTTTCAAGAGCTGTTAGACTACACTCTCTGTTGCTTTTTATACACCTCGGCCAAAACGCTTTCCGTGTTGCCGAGGTAACGCAGCATCTGAACCACCAACAGCAAGAAGTAGTAACAGTGGTAAAACACCGTGTTGTCATTTTAAGTTACGCTGTAGAAAAATTATTTTTATACCTTTGCATGCTGCACGTTTTTTATTGTGTCATGCTGGCGACACGTTAATATATGTTTGTAACTACCAGAAGACAACTGAAGTGCTGAACGTTAGTTGATAACGGAATTCATATAGAAGCTGCCTGTTCACTTTTTTTTACGCTCAGAGAGAGAGAGAGAGAGAGAGAGAGAGAGAGAGAGAGAGAGAGAGAGAGAGAGAGAGAGAGAGAGAGAGAGAGAGAGAGAGAGAGAGAGAGAGAGAGAGAGAGTTAACGTAGCCTTAATTTTTTTAAAAAAGTCATATGACTACGATGTCTGCAGTGTGGCAATTGATAGTGAGGTCTAGCACTAGGTCAACATGCTGCAGACACGAAGCATCATATCCCACCCAGACACATTATTCTGACACCAGGCCGACCACTCCTAACACTAACCTCGTAGTGCTGAGCGCTGAGCGAGGCAGCTGTTAGTATCATTTTTCTAAGTCTTTAGTATGACTCGGCCGGGGTTCGAACCCGTGACCTTCCACATCCTATGTGAACGATCTGACCACTAGGCCATTGTCTAAATCCTCTATCACTCACTAACTTTTGTACAAGCGCCTGATATCGCAGCAGAGGTCGCTGCTAGTCCTAGCGAACAAATATGGACAATATTGTTGGACCCCAGGCCATATGTAAAGATATAAAGATCGCCGGAGAAATGCTCTTAAGTGAGATAATTGCTTTGCTGATGATTTTAATGTTAGCTCTTTATCTTTGGCCTTAGCTGTGTTGTATTTGTTGTGCTGTTTTTATTAGCATCATAACATGTTGTCCATAGACTTCAGTCAATTTTCACTAAGAGAATAGAGTGTGAGAAATCTATGTTAAGTACAGCAAAGGTTGACAATTTGTCAGCACAGCTAGTACTCTAGTCAATTTCACCATAGAATTGTGTGTGCGTTCTGTGTTGTTAGAAATCAAAGTTAAATATAGGATACAAGCTGAAAAATTCACTCAATGACATTTTAGTTCCTATATCGCCATCTTGCTTTTGTTGCATAGCCTCTTGAAGCATAAGGTACTCTCCGGAGTAATTTTATTATCTGCCATAAAATGTGCATTCCAGCTGCCACTAGGATACAGTCTTCTTTCGCTTCTGATTACAATCCCAGTCATGCTCAAGTTTTCAAATACCTGATTGCTTATTATATGGCACTCTCGTTATCTAAGGTTCCGATATGATAACCCTATCTACGCCTTGGCATACAGAACATATATTTCTGTGCTTCTTGTCTGTAAATATTATTGGATGCAGCGGCAAGCCACCGCATCCAATCAAAATTAAGTTGTTCAGATGTGAAAATTGTTCCTACATGATCGAGACAATTGGAGCACACACATTAAATGGAATGATAAATAAGCACGTTTACACTTCCGGTCCGTGTTTGGACAAATATCTGTCACTCAAATAAACCTATAAATGTTTCCCTCTGGTTCGTAGTCATACATTCGATGTTAAACTTACAAAAAATACGTTTAAGTCAATTGCCTCCACCATTTCCGGTCGAAGAACAATGCACTGCTGTTACACACTATTGGTTAGCTAGCATTACATACTAAGAGAGTAAACTCCTGAAATCCAAACGATGTCGCTAGGACAAAATACTAAAATATCGGTTCCATCCGTCAGAGTGTAGAAAGGGGTATCATATCGGAACCTTGACTTGCGAAGACAATGTTATGATTTTCGTTTCATGAGGCTAGCAAAGTCACTTTCGAAAACTTGTCTTAGCAGTTCAATCTCAAGCAAGGTAGCTGTTCTCCATTTCACGGACTATTGTGTATCTACATACGTGATGATTATGTAAACTCGAATTTGCTGGAAATTATGATTTTGCTAAATCGAGAAAATAGATTATTTAGTTCTATTACGTGATATTTTGAGGGCGTTACTCTTTGCATCCAGGGACATAACCTGGTAAGAAAAATTTGTCCCACGTCTGCACATTCTGGGCTATGTATGTAGGTAATAGGATAAGAAACATCCATGACCCTTTAAAAAATTAGTTCCTTACCTACCTTTTTCTCCTCAGCCGGCCACAAGTCTATAGGGTGGCATTAACAACTTTCACTTTCTTGATTGGTTTCTAATATTTTGTATCGTGTGCAGAATACATGAGTTAATTTTTATATCATTGGGTTAAATAACGTTTCTGTGACATCGCGCTGAAAGTCTTGCTTGCCAATTATTTTCGGCCAGAATGTGGCCACATAATTTTTGCTCCTTCGCTGTATACATACTTTCTCATTATAGCAACTTCATCTTTTGGTTCCTTTACTCGGGCAAACGACAATATTATACTATATGTATTTTTAAAAAAATAATATATATATATATATATATATATATATATATATATATATATATATATATATATATATATATATATATATATATATAGTTTAATACAAACAATACTATCATACATGTTAGAGAAATTAAATTCGTAATATATATATATATATATATATATATATATATATATATATATATATATATATATATATATATATATATATATATATATATATATATATATATATCTTCTGTGTCGCCATTAAATACCATGAAAGTATGTTTGTTTCCGCCTATAGCCTCGTGATGTAACCCCTTAAATGTAGCAGAAACTGTTCCGTGCAATCTAATAATATAGCGGTTGTCCAAGCCATACTTAAAACAACGCAGCCCGTGTTACACCAAGTATATTTTGACATCAAAATAAGACGGCAAAAAGTATATTGATATCAGCGCTTGTTTCCTGACCCTGAAAATTTTTCTTTGATTTTATTTATGTTGTCTCTATAAATTTTTATGTAACCGAATCCTATGACATAATCGCAATCACGAACTATTTCTTCTACGGGAATTATTTCTTCTGACGCGAATATTTAAAATATGGCCATCTTGCTTTGGTCATCGCGCATGACCTCATCGAGGTCTCTCGATTTTTATGTTAACTTTGGCTGGAATTTAACGTATAAATAATGACTTTGTCATAGCTAAATTCATTACTGAGCAGCAAATTTTGAAGCAGGTTTTCTTTGCGCGATCAGTTGTACCTATTATCAGATAGAAAGCGGAACATTGCGCCGTGATTTTCTGATGTTATATGAGTCAAAGTAAATGATCAACATTTTGTAATCAATCTATATATAACAACTCATTATACAGTTTTTTTGGTACTGTCATTGGCAACGGCAGCCCAAAAACCATGTCGATAATTGCTGATGCAGAGCTTAACATGGGCGCAATGAGATCAAGTGATACTATGACAGGACCACACATGTCGGCACAATTTTGTTTTTTACTGTGAGCCGTCATACAAATAACACGCATGCTTCCAACAACAAATCCGCGTACAAATATGCTAGAGCAAAGGTGATGCTGGCTGAAGCGAACAAGTTTTCTCAAATTTTCGTACTTTCTGCTGGACAAACATAGCTTTAACCATAGTCGACAATCGAATGCAGCCAGGGCTAGTCTTAAGCCGATTGGCCCGATTTTGCCCAATCGAACCCGTGCTGACAAGGATACGTTTAATATCATTAAAAAAAAAAAAACTTGTTTAAAATTTTATTTCCAAAAAGCCGTGTTCACAGAGGCCTGCTGACTTGGTCGCGCCCGCGGTTGATAGCAGGGAAACAAATTAAAAATATGTTGATGGTAAACGACTGGGTAATTGTTATTCTGCCGAAAGAAAAATGAGTCTATGAATGATTGGTATCGGTGAAAAAATAAATATGGGATTGCAATGCCTTTACGTCATAAAACAGTTGTATATCACGATAAGACATCGATTGGCAACTAATTTCCAATTAAATTTCAACCTGACTACTGGTACTGGAATGACGTCAATGGTTCTCGTGGCAATGAACAACAATTAGATCATTTGCCTAGCGAAGTCCAACAAGCACTTCTGGTAAGTCAATAAGCAGTATCCGAATGTAACATTTACTTTTGGCAGCGAAATATTAGTCAATAATCCGGTAGCTACCAACAGATACATTGGAACTAAGTCAGAGCTAGCTGAAGGCAAATCAATATTTTTACTATGGTATAGCAAACATGGAGGCTTTTTGTGCTGAATTCATTATACAATCCAATAAATATTCAAGCGTCAGACGATTCAGAATTTTAAACCATGTTAATACACCCGTGTATGAAGTTAGCACAGCCGGTGTAAAAGTGAAATACTCCTCAATAAAACAACATGTTGATAACAAGAGCAAAAAATAATCACGAAACTTTTACCAAGTTCGTTATCACTTACCACAAATAGAAGTGAATGTGAGGTGGTAGCGTCGTGAGAACATTTAAACAGTTTCAAAATATTATACGCATTGCCCACAACGCTACTAGCTTAAAGCTAAGAAGTTAGTCGGCGACAGCTGGTGCTGAAAAAAAATTATTGATTTACTTAAAATGTCCTGTTGCGGTCACCATATTGCGATTTCAAATTGCTGACCGATCACAGCCAGGTGAATGCGTCAATATTTGGCAACAAGAAGCGTCAAACTATGCGACAAACTAGATCACTATTAGTGCTTGAACAGAAAAAATACAATGTGTTTTTTTTCTTTCTTTCACACAGCAAATAATAATAATAATAATAATAATAATAATAATAATAATAATAATAATAATAATAATAATAATAATAATAATAATAATAATAATAATAATAATAATAATAATAATAATAATAATAATAATAATAATAATAATAATAATAATAATAATTTTATATAGCACCTAATCCTTAGAAGCTCTAAGCGCTTTACAACATTTGACAACACCTAAAAAGAATATGAAAAACAAACCACAGATAATGAAATGATTAAAAAAAATTAAAAATAAACACCACAAAATTAGAAACAGAAAACATAAAAAATTTTAAGGAACGGATACGTTAAAAAAATACATTGTTAGGTCACTATGACTGTTCTTGTAGTTGAAAAAGACGGGTTTTAAATATTTAAATCATAGCACACATTACTTTACTCTTTTTATTTCAGGCTATTATGTATTTCTGCACTACTTCTGAACCCCAGCCAAAGTCATTTTCAAAAATTGACGCTTGATGATATTATGCGATATATGTGTACAAAAATTCTAACTCAAATTAGGGCTTGCTTGCGAGGAGCTGCATGTCGGATTTTATTAAAGAATTCCGAATCGTGGAAAACATCTTGGTCGAAATAAGCTCACCATGCTTTGGCAAATACTAGAAAAAGTATACGTAAAATAATACCAGCATCACAGCTTTCAAAATAAAATTGTTGGCGCTGAAACTGATGGCAGCTAACTAAAGTGGACTTCAGAAAGAACTAAAAACTACAATGCTCTCAAAATGCTGCCTCTGAATAACCCTTGGTGCCGTCTACTCTGGTCTTGACAAAATAGATTTAAACATTTCTTACCACTAAGATTAAGGTATTCTTTTCCAAGTATGCATCTGATATTTTCTAGTTCTATGGCGATCTCTGCGTAAGAATTAAAGTTGTCGAGATGTTCTTTAGACGCCTTCCGCTATTTAACGATCTGATATACTGACCACACAGCTGTTCTATATTCCAGTCTTTGATAAAGTTTACTTCAGCGTTTAACTGCTCGAGTTAAAGTCATCCATTATATTATTGTTCGTTTTTCTTTATCTAATTCAGATACAATTTGACGCAATATTTATATTGCGCTCTTCATTGTTTTCTCATAACCTGGCAAGTGAGCACTATAATTGTACGTAATCATGAATACCCTCCACGGAAACATATCAAATAGCATGCCTTCAAGATATTTCTGAGTAACGTCATCTATCGCAGTCGCAGTACAGTCTGATTTTTCTTGGACTCAAGTAATAACGTACTAGCATTCCTTATGCAACTCCTTCTTCATAAAAGATACCAATTCGTCTTCAGAAGATTCGCATTTATCAACAAAATCATCGTAGCCGCCAAAGAATCATGATACCAACTGCAATCGGATTCATCTCATATAGGCCATGGTCTCTCAGTGAAATCGTGTATCCTAATCCGAAAAAAAGCCAAATTGATCTAATTAGCACTTACGAAAAGCAGTGTCGAGAATCAGACCGTATGGTGTTGTGACTAAGAATTATAATGCCCATATAAGTGAAGCAAATGTAAGCAGGCAACTAGTTGGCGTTTCTGATAAAGGGTGTCTTCAATTCCAGAGCAAATTTTCACCGCCCTTTACTACATCACTGTCCTGACTATCGAAAGCCGTCAAATATTTCTGATGCAGATATCATTACCAATAATGTATTCGTCTGTACTAATCTCAATGTGATTTTTTTTTATCACAGGCTCAAATAATGTTCCCAAAGGCAAGGCAAAGTCACGTGACCATGGATTTTTCTAGATACGTCTTCTGCAGATACAAATGAATATATTCCATGAGCAAGGCCGGATTTAGATAAAGCGAGGCCCTAAGCTATGAGAAGCTATAGAGGCCATGATTGGTATAAAATAAATCTGAGGGGCCTCTTCAGACTGAGTTCAGACTTTGGAGCCCTAAGCTGTAGCTAGTATAGCTTATGCCTACATCCGGTACTGTCCACGAGCTCTAGGTAATGTCGTTGGCGCAATAGAATGGCATTACGAGGACTTATGACTGAGGTTATGTCTTTTCAAGTAATTCTCTAACACGGCTAGTAGATCCATTGAAATCAATTCCAAAAAGATGTCTTGAATTAGATAATCAGTGGTAGCATTTTGTCTCAAATCAATATGTTATGCCAAGACCAGCATTCCAGAACTCTGACCTTTAAACCTACCAAAGATGTCTTGAGCTCTGACCCACAGATTATGTGAAATATACATATATGTTTATTGCAGTGAGGTGATGTGATTATGATTTGTAACGTAGCTTTAATAATATTTCAGACATATCGCTACGATATCTGCAGTGTGGTAGTTTATAGAGATGTCTAGCACTGGGGCATCATGCCTCAGACATGTGGCATGATGTCCCACCCAGTCACAATATTCTGACACCAGGCCGACCAGTCCTAATACTAACCATTTAAGGCCGAGCGTCAAGCGAGGAAGCTGTTAGAACCTTTTATGTAAGTCTTTGTTATGTCTAGACCGGGGATCGAACCCACGATCCCATGCATCCGAGGCGGACGCTCTAACCATTAGGCGACCGGATCGGTTTATTGCAGAAGTTAATTTCTATTTTTAGACCCCTTCTCTTACATCCTAACCTGCATGAACCAGATGGTAGTTTTATTTAACATTGGAGCGTATAGGAGGATAGAGAAATTAGAGAAACAGAGCAGGGTAAAGATCTTTAATTTACTTGTATGGGCATCGTGGGTACACTAAAAAAGTTTGTTTTCTTTAAAGGGAATTAAAATAAAATTTTGTAACAACTTCTTTCACAATACACTGTTTGGATGGAATGGTAGTTTTGATTAAAACAGTATGGTCAGGGCATTATTAGTTGGTGTATAGATTTTATTTTATTTTTCAAGTGGGCTCATAAGATGGTAGGCGGATAAGGAATATAATATTGCTTATTCCAGGATTTAAATTCTATTTTATACCACTTCTATATCATCATACCCGGTGTGGTCAGTAGGTGAGTTGATAATAGTCCCTCAAAATGGGTTAAAGGAAGTTTTGGTGAATAAGAGTTTTACGTTTTTGTTGTTTCTTTTTTACTGGAGATCATTTGGTGACAGGGGAAATAAGGAAGGCATTTATTATTTGCACGCGATTTGAATTCTGCTGTTAAATATCTCAGTATTATACGTCACCATGAGTGGTCAATAAATAACTAAAGATATTTTAAATAGGTTTCGTGCTTTGGTCGCTATGGACGGTGTGCAAGGTAGTAAATGCGAGGTGTTGGATAGTACTTTATGGGGTATTGGTCACTATACAAAGCGTGTTGGATATTATGTGCGGGATATTTTTTCACTACATATTGCCAGTTAGATAGTTGATAACTAAGTGTTGTAAAGTAGTTAACAAAGTATTGCATAGTATATAACCTCGTCTTGCACAATAGACAAGTTTTCCATCTTTAACTGTAAAGAGATTATTGGGGGGGGGAATTATTAGTAAGTTATTTTGTTTTGATAATGGAATTGAATTCTATATTTTTATACCCTTGTTTAACATTCTACCCTGTGCGATCAGTTAATGAATGCATGCTGGTCATTCTTAAAGGCATTTTTAAAATAGATGGGAGTGTTCAAAGATAAAACTAGAAATTACCCTTGTAATCCTGCTAATTTCTCCTTGTCCTCTAATGAAATGCCACTTCTTTCACTTCAATAGTACAAATATTTGAATTACAATACCAGAGAGGAGATAGTGTTGGAAAATTTTTTGTAGGGTCGGGGTGGGTTGGGACATCATAGGAGAGCAGGATGTTTGATTTTTATTTTTAATGTGAATCATAGACAACGTTACAAATTCCACTTTTGAAACCCATGATAGAAAATATGCATTTGATTTTATGGGCAGCCAAACTTACATTTCTGCCTCTAACATGATACATTGTTACAGCCAAACAGACTCATCATGTGAGAAATCATACGTACCAAGATTTTTTATACCACCAATAAACCACAAAAATGGCGGTATTACATACAAGTCACGTCTGGCTCTATACATATTTTACAACTGTTTAACACGGTGAGTCCTTCAAGATGAAGTGCCCAACTGCTGATCGCATAAACATTTGTAAAAATGAGATTACTCACCCGAAGTGGTATAAACAATGTTGTAAATATGACGTTACTCACCTGCCGTGGCACACTTAGATAAGAACTCTTACCTGCAGGGTACGGTCCTCCTGTCGGTCGTACTGGCAAAAAGAATAAATAAATAAATAAAAATATGCATTAATGGTACGGCGTACCAGACCACACCGGTAAATGTGTATCAAATCTCACCCCAAACACAATGATAAATGATTTACATACGTGACCATTTGGTATAACCACTCACAGATGAAGGAATAGGGCTTGCGGTGTTAACAAGTGCCCAAGGGGTAAGAGGAATGGTACTACTAGTAGGAGCGCGGAAGGGGATGACTATCATCCCCACCCTTACCCCAGCTCCTGCCTTTTAAGTGCCTCTAAAGCAAATTTACCATTAAGATATACAGAACGTTTTCTTTATGAAACGTTCATGTCTCCTCGCACTTACTTTTAGGGGGATGGGGTGGGAAACCACTCTTCTCATCCACAATCCTAGTTAAGTTTTCAGTGCATGTGCAAGAGTATACGTTTTATTGGGATCGCTTCAAATTGGTTTTAAAACGTTTGGACTTTCTGGGTTTGCTAAAATTGTATAACCTAACCAATAAGAAATTTCTTGGTGTTGTGGCAGTTTATTCAGTAATTTATATTTAAACATATTAGTAATTACCATAATGTAATTTAGGTACCCCTTTCAGTTGGATATATGCAATGCATAGTTTCTGATGTAACAGTTTGAAATATATATATATATATATATATATATATATATATATATATATATATATATATATATATATATATATATATATGTGTGTGTGTGTGTGTATGGATGGATGGGTGGATGGATGGATGCATATATATATATATATATATATATATATATATATATATATATATATATATATATATATATATATATATATATATATATATATATATATATAAAGAATACAAATCATATGGCGAATAACAACCCTCTCAAGCGTACTGGATCCACCAAGGGATCACGTTTGTCAGGGATTAATTAAAATATATGCAATAAACTGACGACGAACAGTACGAAACTAGTAACTAACTAGCCTAAGCGCTTTCGACTCTTAATGAGTCTTTTTCAAAGGCAAATACAAAACATAGTTACGACAAACAAATAAACACAAAAACGTTGCGTTTGTAAACCTCTACATTTCTATCTTCACATGTGCTAAAACTATAAATACAAACAGCTTGTATAGACTAGTTGCGGAAACTGAAAACGTTGTATAGGTTTACAAACGCAACGTTTTTGTGTTTATTTGTTTGTCGTAACTATGTTTTGTATTTGCCTTTGAAAAAGACTCATTAAGAGTCGAAAGCGCTTAGGCTAGTTAGTTACTAGTTTCGTACTGTTCGTCGTCAGTTTATTGCATCTATATATATATATATATATATATATATATATATATATATATATATATATATATATATATATATATATATATATATATATGCCTTCTTGTATGCTTCCATCCACACATCCATCCATACACACACACACACACACACACACACACACATATATATATATATATATATATATATATATATATATATATATATATATATATATATATCGTTTGTTTGTGGGTGTTTATTTTGTGCTATAAGGCCCACATACATGCTATTCTTGATCAAAATAGATATTTAAACCATCATACCTCAGTGCATGTATATACACTATGGTCCGAACAGTGATGAACACTTGTCGATATAGAACGTTCACGGGACCCTTTGCAAAACTTTTCCACTACATCACGGAATATTGTCGATGTCATTCATTCAACCACAGCGTTTCGTTACAAAGAAAATTAGGAGTATCCGTCAATGAATCAAGGGAAGGGTGGGTCTTATATGTAACAATATAACACATTGTTACAATTTATTCAACAGAGCTGGAATAAATCACAAAGGCTTGAATCTTTGCTTTCTTATTTTTATTGTTATTTATGTTGTTAATGTATATTTTTTATTAATAAGCATTGATACCAATAGTTTACAAATCTAAATTTATTTATTTATTTATTATTATTATTATTTTTATTATTATTATTATTATTATTATTATTATTATTATTATTATTATTATTATTATTATTATTATTATTATTATTATTATTATTATTATTATTATTATTAAATATCTGTTGGTATCTTTTTTTTTCTTGCACAACATCTTTCCGGATTTTGCAATGTCTCTTTCCCGCTAACTTCCGTGTCTACGAAGTAATCTTTGTTTGGGCAATACGTTAGAACGGTTAGACTGTATAAAAGATAAATTGGAACAACAAGTCACAAGACCAATTTGATCAAGTGAAAAGGTGTCGTTTGTTTTTAAGAACTTGAACAAGAATAATGTCAGACGAAAAAGCAGGTGAGATATAATGACTTTCTTTTAAGCTGTCAAGACGATGATTGATTTCATTCGTAAGAAATTTTGTTCATTTCTTCTATTACCAAGACATAATTTCATCACTGACAGTTTTGTAGGCCAGGAACATGAGCGAGCCGTTCTCCAACCATTTGATTACTTTCTGACTTAAGTGCCTGTGGTACTTGCTGAGCTTAATGTCTGAAAGTAATAAATTTCGGAGAGCATCTTCTTTGTTTATTGCTTGTTGTTGAAACAAACCATACCAAAAATAAAAGATGATAAAAACTCTTTAACCGTATCAGCTTACATATTTGGTTATCCAGTTTGGAATCGCATGTACTCAGATTAGTAATTAATCTTAATTGCAGACTAAATTCATGCAGGAAAGGAATGGCAGCTAGTTGCTGGTCTTCTGTTTTCTATTTACACATGAATAATGGACACAGTTATTTTAATCTTACTCTAAAGCGATTGATTCAGAACATACAATGCAGGAAAATTTTATTTGGTGAAATTAATACAGGAATTATTTGAGTATCGAGTGTAAGTACTCGTCCCAGGGAGAAGTGAGTTGTAAATATACTCATCTTAGACCAACACATTATTTTACACCTGAGTTTTTTTGTTGATATGATTGGTGACAGTCTGACATTAGTATAGGAAAAGTTGCAGAACTTACTTGACTAATACTTGGCCCAGTCATCACCTCTTTCAACAAAGTACTCTTCTTTTATCTGTTTTGCTCATATGAAAAAAACTATAGGTACTTGTTTAGAGTTAAGACAACAATTATAAAAACCTAACACCTTGGATAAATAAGAAATATTTATAACTTACGAAAGTCTACTTTTGCATAGTCTTTTTTGTTGACACATTGTCAATTTTCTGTAATATTTTTTTATCTAATTTTACATGTAGAAATTGTTCATTTTTTCAAGTCATCACACATATTAATAAATTAGACACATGATAAGATAGCTGATAGAATATGTCGAATTTAACAATTTCTTATCTGGCCAAACTGCAA